TTCCCTGCCGGGAGAATTTGGGCTCTTTGTGTATTTACAAACCCATAAAACTGTGAAGCTGCTCCTGGGAGCAGAAGTTCCTGCCTGGCCCAGGCTGTGAGCCCTGAGCAAGCACCAGCTACAGGCAGCCTGGGCTTTGGACAGGAGGGGTTGTGCTGAGCTGATGTTTGGGATGGGAGCTGGTGCTGAGGGCCCCTGCCCAGCTGTGGTTCCTCACCCAGCCATAAAATGGCTTTCTGCACCCTCTCTGTCCCCAGATCCCTGTGGGGCTGGCTCAGGGGCAGCTCTCAGCCACATGCAGAGCACACCTGCACATGCAGGGATGCTCCAGCAGGGCTGGGCCCCCTGTCCCCTGTGTCCCATCTCCCAGGGCATCCCCGGTGGGCTCTCACCGACCCCGGACAGGGACAGGGACCCATTAGCAGGGGATTGACTCCAGAGGCTGCTGCTGCTATCCAGACAGCTTTATTCATTAGCAATTAGGCAGGCGTTGTCTGGCATCTAGATTAATCCCACTTTTAATTATTTTGAAACTGTGTGAGATTTCCCAGGCATTAAAGATTATGTACGCGCTTGCTGATTCCACAGCAATTATTCTAATGTAATGATGTCTATTAATACTCTTCCCAGCTTGCCATGCCCAGAGGGGAAATTCCCATCTCCCCCTGTGGAGATCACATCTCCCACGAGGCATAACCCCCCTATTCACCTGCTTACATGGCACAAAAGAACATTTTCCATGTGCTTCGCCTAATACTAATAACATTACAGAGCTGCTGCTGTATCAAGTACCAAGCAATGATAGCAAAGGGGAGAGAGATCCTTTACAGCCACAGCCCACCCAAAAACCAGCATCTTGTATTTGTGGGATGTTTTGAAAGGTAAAGGTCACAATATTTTTATCCCAAGTCAGGCTAAACCATTTAATCAGAAATCAAAGGTTTCATTCAGCTTCTGCCTCATTTGAGCTCATTACAGATTGCCTTTACAATCTACAGACAGCATTTAAAAGAAGAATGTAGTTTCAAAGAGGGACAATGGAGTGTGAGCTGACAACCTCAAACCATAGAGCTATTCCAAAATCTCACCTTTCCTTTGGTATAAACATCCCCCAAACTCATCAATTTCCCACTATAATTCTCATAATTCCCAAACTTCATGTATCAGAGAGTTTGCTATTCCCTGGCAAAACAAGTATTGTGCCATTGGCCACCAACTGACACTGTGGGGCTGAGACAGTTATCAGAATGAGGGCTCAAGTGAGCGCTGTGCCAGGACCCATTTACATCCCTCTGCCCATGAATGCCCAGCAGAAAATACATATATTTGACATTAATCTCTAGCTTATATAGAGGTTTATGTCCACAACTGCTTGTGCACATCCTATCAAGTGAAAACCTTATTTGCAGTCATATGAGGGAACAGATTAAAATAGCTGAGATACCAAAAGGCAGTGGTTGTAGTGTCCTGAAAATGAACACTCAGCTCTCACTATAACTATTTTGATTATTTTGCATATATATTGTTTCAGCATTTCATTGCTCCCCAAACAAAAAGCGATATAACCTCTCCTGCCTGGCCTAATGTATCCTCACAGAGCTAAACTGCATGACAGAGCTGCTGGGTAGAGACCACGGGTAATTTGGCTGATAGATCCTCTGGAAGCTCAGAGCTAAATTCGATTTCAGGCCCAAACTCGTCAGCCCGTCTCTGGAGATGGCAGAGCAGTGATATTAGCATGATGGCAACGCCGCTCACTCTGAACTCAAGAAATGGATTAAATGAAATTACACTCTTCCCTGATGAGGCTGGTGGAACAGGGAGATTGCTTTAGGAAACCCAGAATTGAATTTCATAGGTAAGAGTTCAGATGCTGGGCTATTTGCTCAGGAAGGTTTGTGCAGGCTGCTCCTCCCTGGAGCCACAGCTGCCAGGAGGGCAGGAAGGACACGGTGCCAGTGCCTCCAGAGCCTGCAGCCACCCTCACTCACACCACTGCTGGCTTTGGCAGTGCTCCATCCACTTTGGAGGCAGGAGATCCCACAACCCCATCCCAGCACCCCCATTCCCACCTGTGAACTCTCCATTTTCCCTTCTCAGGCACTGCCACCCCAGCAGGGTTCAGCAATAACCAAACCACCCCCAGCTCCTCCCAAATGCTCTGGAGACAGGGAGATTTCTATTAATTGGAAGATTTAAACTTATCACCTGCTTGGAAAATACCTCTCCTGCAGAAGATATTTCTGTAAGGATGACCTCTCCACCCAGAGCTGCTCTCTGTGCCTCCCTGCAGTACTGAGCCAGCCCGGCAGCCCAAGGTTTGCATTTGTTTGACAGGTTTCCTCAATTACCTGATAATTCTGGCTCAAATTTAAGAGAGGAGATGGATCAGATTTTCTTCTCCTCTCATCATGAGCAGAAACAGCTGAAACAGCAATTGCACTGGTATCTGTCAGGTGTTACTCATGGCTCTGATATTTTGAATTTTAAAAACTACACAAAAAAGCCCATTAGTTCATTTTCACTCAAAATTAACATCATTGAAAGCAAATGTATTATAGCACACTAAAAGGGATCATTTGCCATATAAAGAGGATGCAAAGGTCATTGACAAAAATCAGCTGAGCAGTTCATGCCCAACAGCCTTTACACACCAGGTACTCTTTAGGAAAGCTTTAGTCTCACACTCTAAGACCCAAATACAGCCCTTTGCAAGGCCACGCAGGTCTCACAGTTATCAACATCCCAAGTTTTTGGAGGGTAAAAGGAACCAATCATGTTAAACTTTCTCTTTAACATGAATTTTAGCACTGCACATCACCATCTCCTTACAGCCCTGGGCTCCACCCTGACTGGCCCAGGTGGGTCTGGCAGTGCCAGTGCTGACATCCCTTTCCATCCTGGAAACTTAAGAGGCATCCCAGTGCTCCAAAGAGTTTTCCTAACGTGTCTCCAGGCTTTTCAAAACTCACCAGAGGCTTTGAGAGCTTCTTGACTCACTGCTGCAGCTCCTCAGCTTCTGAAGTTTGTCTGCCCAAACATCCCCCACTCCCCCATCCTTTCCCTCCCGCTGTCAAATGACTCCCCTCAAACACAACCCCGATTGGTTTAATGCCAGATTTCACTGCTGGGTGCTTTTTTAGCTGCAGGGAAGCCTCTCACACGACCTCCATCCCATCAGCAGCTCCTGCAGCACCCTCTCAGTGCACTAACAGACCTGTCTGTTAAATAAAGCCAGTCAATGCAGATCTGCTGGCAGACCCCTCCACCCCTGCCCCCAGGGCTCAGAAAGCCTCACAGAGGTAGGATGCCCCTGCAGGTACTCACAGGAGAAGGGCGGCTCTGTCCTCACAGGGGAGTTCCAGCAGATCAAGGCAAAGTCTCCCGTGGGCACCTTCATGACAACTGTCCTGCTGCAAGCCTGGCAAACCTGTGGGCCTTTTATAGACACCAAGAAAAAATGCTTCCATCCAAACTGTCAGAAAGTGTCTTTGTGGCATCTCTGGCCAAGAAGATGCTGAGAGGGCTGGAGAACCTCAGCTCTGGAGACAGGCTGCGAGAGCTGGGGGTATCCAGAGCATGGAGAAGGCTCTGGGGAGATCTCAGAACCCCTTCCAGTGCCTAAAGGGGCTCCAAGAGAGCTGAACAGGGAGTCCTTGACAAGGACATAGAGGGATAGGACAAGCAGGAATGGCTTTTAACTGAAAGACAGAAGATATACCTAAGATATCAGGAAGAAATTCCTCTCTTTGGGGTGGTGAGACCCTGGCACAGGTTGCTCTGAGAAGCTGTGGATGCCTGGAAGTGTCCAAGGCCAGGTTGGACAGGGCTCGGAGCAACCTGAGACAGTGGAAAGTGTCCCTGCCAATTTTTTGTGTGTCCCCAGAAGGGATACAGTGGGATGCATGGGAAGTCAGTGGATAGGCAGCACCCTCCAGAGTCAACATAGAGGGTGGGGATCTCATAAAGGATAAAAATAAATCATATACGTACACAAACATATATGTACACACAGAGAAAGAATTCCTTAATGCTTCAGACCACTAACAATCATATTTAAAATCACCAGAAACCACAGCTTGTTTTTCTGAGGGCTGCTCATAAGTTGAAACCTCTGCAGTAAGTCCTGAATCAGACAAAAGCCCAAAGTGGTTTTGCCCTTGAAAGCTGTAGTTTAAATACAATTCAGAAAAGATATGACTTCAAATTCACATACTTGCTGTCAACTGCTATTTCACTCATGTGGGAATTACCAGCCATTCTCAACTGTGCAGCTCTCAGCACATCGTCAGAGAAAGAAATAATCACATGAAAATCAGAAGTCTGTAGTTAAATTTTATTTATCAGTTCTATTGTTAAATGACACAATCAAAGTCAGTGGATTGGCCTGTAAATCTACACAATAAGACAGCGTCTACGGTGGAAATCAGTAGAATTTGATATGGTTATGACAAAATGGTATCCTTATATTCGTACATCCCCTATATACAATAAACAGTATACACAAAGAAAATGCAACTAGTCTCTGTAAACCATGCACACCACAGCATAAAAACAAGATGCACCTCCTGCAACAGGCCTCCAGCTCGCCCACAGTTAAGTCCTGTTTACAGCAGTGCCTTTCAGTTTCAAGAGCAAATTATTTTCCCCCGTGAAAACCAAAATACAACTGAGACATCATATTGGCAACTGCAGTTCTCATTTAAAAAAAAAAATTGCTGTACATGAAGTTATTCTCTTCTCAAAGCTGCTAATGCAGGGTATTGGTTTGCTGCTGCTTTGCTCTCCCCTTGCCCTTGGCAGGGTTGCTGCCCCCAGGCAGCCACACATCATCAGATGTAAAACCACTTCCAGATAACTTAGGCGTGGAGCCCTAAGGTGTTTTAAAGCCTTCTGCCTCATTTCCTGCCCCCCTGCCCTCCTGGTGTATAGAGTATTACAGGTGAAAGGCAACAGTTCAAGTGAGCCTCGTGAGCATCGTGTCCCCGGGGCCACAGAGAGCCCGCCCAGCTCAGTGCCAAGCTCGGCAGCACTGCAGGACAAATGTGCTCAGCTTGCTGAAAGCCTGGCCCAAGCCTTGCAGAGGTTTGTATTTTTTTTTTTTTGCATAGAGATTTGTAGGAGCCCCTCACACCACGTTTGCTGTCCCGTGGGCCTGGGGAGGCTGGAGGGCTGCAGGACCCCGCTCCAGCTCCGACCCTGAGCCCAGCAGAGCCTGCTGGGGAGCGAGCTGTGCCCCCCATGCACCTCACTTCCCTCTCCCCCTCTAACTATGGCTATGGAAAAACTGGCTTCCCTCATTCCCAGTCCTCATCTGTCATCATCGCTATGAAGGGCTCAAGAGCATAGGAAAAAAAAAAAGCCCTGTTCTTATCTGGTGTAGCAAAGATTTACTGGAAGTAAATCCTAATTCAAGTGTAAATCTACTTCCGTTGAGCAATTCTCTTTATAATATTGCTGGGATTAGAGAGTTTTATGACTTCTTAAAGACACTACACAAATATCAGCAACATAATTTCATCTAGTTTATACCACCAATTATTAAGGAATGATAAATTCAGCATTATGTATTCTAATGGGTAAGAAAGACTTAAAATGAGACACTGTCACAGGATTATAACTTGGAGAAGGCTTTATGAAAAAAACATGAGAATGTGCTGTAACTTTTCCAGAATGGTTAAAATCATACTGCCCTGAAAAATTCTGGAAACAGTGTCTTATAACGTTGGCATTGAGTTCAGAAAAGTATGCATGTATTTTTTTTCTTTTTTTTTAAATATGAGATAGACCAAGCTTAAAACTCTAAACAGCAGTAGGTAGAAAAAGTTTAAAATTTTAAATATTTATATAACTAGAGAAATTACTTCTATTCATTTTAAAAGCCAATATTATACATAAAACTAGTCGATAATTTTTCTAGACCTTTACTGTTCCCTTCATCATTCACTCATTAACTTGGTAAATATCATAAGCAGTTGGTGCCCTTGAAAACACATTATTAAAATAAAATTAAGATAAAATCAAAGGAAAAGGATTTGTTCATATACTGTATTGTGAGAGTATGCTAAATGCTCGTTATTAGGAAATGAGTTTGCTTCCCAGATAGATTTCAGCCGAGCATCATAAACATTTTCCAGCATCCCATTTTGTACTCATAACTAATATAAGGATTTTTTTTTCTTTCATTTCTTTTAAATAAATGTCCAAGCAAACATTTCCGATGAGCCGAGACGGCTCCCGTATTTCATAAATAACCCAACAAACCTAAAAAGGACAATTTAATTACACGCTAAGATTAAGTGTTCCACGTACAGTACAACATTTACTGCAAAGGCAACTGCAAAGGCAACATTTTGACCTCTTTTTGCTTCAGACCCTCGAGAAGCATCACTGGGTTTGCAGGCTGGCTCGGGCTCTGCTCATTTTCTGCCCTCAGGTGCGCCCCACTATCGCCGCCAGCGCTCCACGTTCCCCGTGTAGTCAGTGCTGGAGCTGTTCTCCCCCTGCTCCCTCAGGTGCGCCTGCTTGGCCCGCAGGATCTTGCGCTGCTCCTGGCGCTTCCGCCGCGCCTCCTGGTGCTCCTTCTGCCGCATGTACTGGTACCGCTGCAGGAACAGGTCTTTTGCATAATCGTACAATTCCATGTCTAAAAAATTGAGGGCCTCGATGCGCTGCTGAGTCTGCTTGTCTATCTCCACGCTGGAGGCCCTTGTGCTGTTGTACTGCGTGAACGGCGAGATGAAGTTCATGTTGAAAGTCTTCTCAAAGAGATACTGAGTCTTGCGCTGGAACTCGGTCAGGCCGAAGAAGGCCATGCGCTTCAGGTTCTCCTTGGCACTGTCCAGCAGAACCTTATTCCTCTGCTCCTCGGGCATCACCGACAGGTTGTAGCAGCCCACCAGGCTGAGGTCGGAGAGCATGCGCACCTGGCGGTTGTTGGCCAGGTTGTAGGGGCAGTCCATGAACTCCTGCAGGGAGCAGCCCGACCAGTCGTCCCCGCTGTAGCAGCTGGGCAGCTCCTCGGTGGTCGGGGAGCGGCCGTCGCAGACGTGCAGGGACGCCTTCCATGTGGCCCCGCGCTGCACGTGGCGCCACTCGCTCAGGTACCGGGACACGGGGTCACGCAGGATGGTGATGTAGTAGAAATTCCTGCCAAGGGGAGAGGAAAACAGAGCGTTCAGTCCCGTGTGTGTCTCCAGCACACAGCGCATTAACGCTCGCAATCAATACAAACAGGCAGAGGCACTTAAGAGGCTTTCAGCAGCCCTGCTGCACAGGCTCCTCTGTGAGTTCACCTCCACAGGGTGAAGGACGGCTCAATAAATCCCCGGGGGAGTGTGAGGGGGCTGCATCTACCTGCACACACACAGAGCTGTCGCTGTTACCTGGTGGTGTCTCTACAGAGGCCAAGGGAACCCCAGACTCCCCTCTGTGCTGGGCTGTCCCTGTGGTAACACCCTCCTGCTGGTGCTACAACCAACTGATGGTTGCCCCAGACCTTGGGAGAATACTTGGAGTATCTCCCAGGATGTAAGCCATGACCCAAGCAGGACACAGGTAGCTCCGGCTCTTTTAATTTCCTTGTACCAAAGAGCTGCACTGACAGGTTTCCACAGACAGCAAAGAGCTGCCTGTGCTGTGTTCCTGATGAGCAGTTGTGGGTCTCAGCTGCACGAGCCCCAGAGCAGCATAACACCTCTGAGGAAGGCATTTCCTACAGGACCTTTCCTTTTGCAGATCAATGGGGTGAGCCCAGAAGCCCCAAACCACTTCCACTCTAACAAGTACTTTGGCAAAGCCCATATAAAATCCTGTTTTACTCTACTGCCTTCATCTGATACAGGACTGAAATGATGAGAGAGGAGAGCTAAGCGACTAAAAAGAAATTAAAGGATACATTACAGCATTTTGTAAGAGAAAACATTTTTCAAGAGAGGTGCTGGCTTTGGTTTGAAGCAACAGGATAGCAGCACATGTGGGGGTGATGCTGCCACAGGGAATCCATCAGGCCACCAGCTGGAAAAGCTGCAAGTTCAACCACAGAACTCACCCAGAGCTCACTCTGGGCTGCACATTAATATCCACCATCAAACACCATGATATCCACCATCATATCCTGAGGATGGACACAGCTCTTTGAATCTCCACTAACATGACCATGGCCTCACCTGGATGATGCTGGAGGAACACCATCAGGATATCAGCCATCTGCTTAAGCAAATGGAATTAAAGTAGCTCAATAAGCAAATTGTCCTGCCAGGGAAGGCCACTCCTCCAGGAGGAGGACACCAAAGAGTGTGTGCCCAGGAGCCCTGAGCCCCTGGGATGTGACTGCCATGTCCTTGGTGCTGTGCAAGGAGGAGAAGCACATTAATTTGCTTTCTCAAGAGACATTGTGACTGGTCACCTTGAAGTCAAACTTTCGTTCCCTGTTGTTTCCTTTGGCAGAAAAGCCACTAGATGTCAATGTTTTACAGAAAATCGTCTTTGAACGGACTAAAATGTGAATCACAAGCACAAAAAGGATCCAGCTGCACAGGGAAAGAAAACCTAGAGAATCACCATTCTCCTTCCTATTTAGAGCATCCACACTCATGAATAATTAAGTAAGTAGAAAGTACAATAAACGTGCAAAGCCAAATAAAACCAATGAGCCCAGAACAGAATCAGTGGCTGGAAAAAACAGCATTCAACCCTTGGAGCTGGGACACCACAATCACACCACCCCTCTGCTCAGAGGGATTTGGCCACAGATTCACACAAGCAAAGGGAACAAAAGTCCCCACCACAACCCCCAGGAAGGTCCTTATCCACAGAAGTGCCATTCAGTGATTTATTTCACTGTGAGAGCTGGGGGTAAGAGTGAGCAAGAATAAAGCTCACTTTCATGAGTGAGTGGCAGCTGCTAACCCCACACTGTCCCTTGCAGAGATGGGGAGAGTTTTGCTCTGTCTTATCTCAGCAGGTCTCTGGTAGCTTTGGAGAACCCAGCCTGGCAAAGAGGATGCGCCACCTCAACCAGAGCTGTCCCTGACAATGCTTGTGCCTCAGGCTCCTCTGATGCAGCAGCAACCCAGCCTTGTCAGGATCCCCAGCACGGGGAAATGGAACATCTCTGGGACAAACCTAAGCCCTTTCTTTACCTTCTGCCAGGACTCCTGGGCCTTGGATCAAGTTTATTGGGACACTGCACTGAAATAATGACCCAACCATACAGCACTAACCTCTACACTAACTATACATTAACTAACATACAGCAACAAACCTCTGATGACCGTGGGGACAAAAGCAAAGCCCTGCTTGCCCCAGAGCCCCTTGCAGGAGCTGGGCCATGAGCAGCTCAGCTCAGGGGAGAAGGGTGCAGGCACAGGGGGGCTACCAGCTGGAGGAGAAGGCCAAGCAGACTGTGTGCTCTAAGGTCATCACAGAAATCGATGGGGAGTTAATGCAAGAAGGGAAACAAATCCTGAGCCAAGATCGATGCAGCGAGCGTTTTATTACAGCCCAAACTCTTCAGCCACTCTCCCTTTGTGCTCCTTGGTCACAGGCGGTGACAAAGCATCTCCCTTGGCTGCTGTTGTAAAAACAAAAGAATGAATAAAAAACTCAGGCTGGGGGAAGAGGCTGTGCTGTAACAGAGCCCCGCCAGCCTGGGCTGCCTCACCTGGGCAGGTATCTCCATCTGTGCCTGCCAGGGAAATGCTGCAGTCCAGGGACGCTGGGGGGGATGAGGCTGAGCAAAAGTGCTCACTGGACTCTGCAGTGAGCATGGAGCTGTCTGGGCCTCCCCAGCACCCTGAGCTCAGGGTGCCAGGCAGGGACACTGATGGGATGGCCCAGGCAGGGACACTGACGGAATGGCCCAGGCAGGGCCCTTATCCTCCCTGGCCTAAGCACAGCTGGCTGGAACAGGCTCAGAGCTCTTATTTATTCCACCTTGTTATTTCCTAGATGAATCCTGCTTTCAGAAAATGAGAAGACATGTCTTAGAGAGAGATGCTTTGTCAGCTGCTGGGCCAATCTCAGCAGTTTTATGCATTTCTCTCCTGCCTATTAAAATGTTACCAAAAGAGGCACTGCCCCTTTGGGGAACATCAGCTTTTGCCCCAAGCCTCTCCTCTTGAGTTAGGAATCATGGCAGCTCCAGGAAAGCAGCTGTGCTGCTCTGTGCTCATCTGAACTGAGCTTCAGAAAGTCACAAAAGCTTTAATGCATCCTCAACTCAGAGCTGTGCCAGAGATGAATTCGGCCATCAGCACTTTGAGCATCATTCTGCTGCAACTGAGGAAGACTTCAAGCATTGCAATTATTTTTAGCTCTGTAGGTAACAGCTTGTTCTTTCTGCTGCCTTACCAAGGGGGTGCTGAGCTCCTGCCTGCTCCTTGAAGCGTGTGCTTCAGAGCCCAAAACAACACGTTTGCAGGTAGAGCTCCAACTGCTGTGAATCATCCCTCCCAACTCAGAGCTGCACTCACCAGAACGTGGCTTTTCTGATGCACCTGGGGGGCCATGAAGCACAGAGAGGGAGCTCGAGGGCAACTCACAAAGCAGGTTGACCTGGAGGCATCAGGAATGTGGGATAATGTAACAGTGACTTGCTTCAGTCTCTCCCTGAGCACTGCTGTTCCTTGAGGAACACGGGGACTGAACAGTCCCACAATGTTGAGTTTGCTCCCCATGCTGCACCTGTTTGCTTTGAAGGATAATCCTGTGGTCACAGTGTCCATTCCTGCCAGCCCTTTCCCCACCTCTGCCTAACACAGGGACAGAATGAGATTCCCTTTTTTCCCTTTTTTCCAACCTAATCAGTTTTTTAAAGAATCCAATTCAAACTTCGAATTGCAAAAAAAAAAAAAAAAAAGAAGTTCAAGTAAGAAACTGTGAAACCCCAAGGGATGACAACACTGAGTAAAGCCAGAGACTTCAGATTCAGAGTCTGGAGAAGCTGCCAGCGAAGGGATATGCAGGTACTCACACCACAGTGCTCAGGGGGCTCATTGTGTGCAGAACTAAATAGGTGAGGGGCAGGGGACTCTAATTATGCATCAAAATGGGTCAGAATCTCCCAAAGTCAGAGCACAGCTCATCCCAACCCCGCTGCCCCACTGTTTAATGGCCTGCTGAGGTCGAGGGAGGCTGGAGGTCAGATGCTGGCGCTGCCATGGCTTCAGCCTGGAAACCTGAGCCTGGCTTGATGGAACTATGAGGTAAGGACTGGAGAGAGGAGCTGAAAGCTGAACATGCACTCACCATTACATCCATTAGTGGATTAGTAGGTGAGGGACTGAGTGACCTTTTCCCATTGCTGAGAAATGAGGCTGCAGCAAGAAGAGCTTTGCAGGTTACTGAGGGTGAGAAACCTGCAGCCTTTGCACAGGGAGCACTGCAGCCCCAGAAACATCCCCATCTCCCCCACAGGCTGTTCCCAGGGGCAAACTAAGGCAGGAAAACACAGCTTCAGCACAGGGCTGAGGCAGCAGAGCTGTGATTTCCAGGGAAAGTACTGGGGCAGTCCCATTCACCATGCAAAAGTAAAGCCATGCTTTAAGCTGGCTCAAACACACCCATTTGTATCTAGGTCAAGCTCAGCCAGATGGCAAGCCTGGCTAGGACGTTTGGAGTCACAGACTGGGCTCGTGCAGTGAATGGGAGGCAATTTTATACAAGTGCCTCCATCTCTTTGAGTGGAGATGGGGGAGACAAGGAAATTTGTTAAGTTTCCAAATCGGTGTGGGTTTTTTTCCCTAGTTCATGGACTTTGTGGTACGTTAATGGGCCAGTGTGATTCCAAGTTCTGCTCCAGGTGAAAATGGATATTTTGAAAGAAAAGTTCACTCTGAAGGTGCAGGGGCAAACGGATAGACCAGGTTTGTGCCACATCCAGCAGAAATGCAAATAAAACAAACTAAAACCCTGCAGCAGAGATTCTGCATATGATGCAAAGGATTAAGGATGGAGCTACTGGAAAAAGAAAAATAATCATAGGGTTGGCACTTCATCACCAGAAACAATGCACAATCACCAGAGCCAGCAAGCAGCACAAGGACATCCATGTCCTCCCCCCTCCACACAAACTGCTCATGCTGCTGAATAAAAATCTAGAGAGCTTGCTTATAAAAGAGTAGCCACATACTCATTCTTTTAAAGGC